ACATCCTAAATGGTCTACAACATATAAATATTTCACTGTACGGATTGGTGAACCTTTCAAGGGTAGACAAACAAATTAGATTACAGAATAAACTTTTTCCTTAACCCTTGCAGTGGGGCTACCCCAGCACTGCAAGGGTTAGGCGTTTATTAATGTCTAGGTGCGAAAATAAAGTTATACTCACCTGATCCTCAGACCCGGCTTGCTCTTAGACTGGTCCCAGGAGCCTCTTTCCCCCTCAACTGCAGCAGTCTAAGGTCCGTGAGTCAGCATGTTCTCTGTACTGGGTACAGAACATGAGGACGCCGAGGGACATACCATCGCTGCAGTATAGTGAGACACAGGCTGGAGGAAGTGCCGTCACAGCTGGCCGGCTGCAATGTTCAGGTGAGAATAACTTAATTTTGCACCTAGACACAAACGTCCACTAAACCTTTCCAGTACAGGGCACTGCAAGGGTTAAGAAAAAGTTCCCCTGGAGGTGTTCTTTAAATGCAATTGTTTGATTTGCCTGCATACATCTTAAGCACACATGCAATTGTTTCATCATTGGTCCTCCGAAATGTAGTAAATTATAAGATCTCATCTCTGTCCTCACAGTATGGGGAATTCTGAGAACACACATACTTTGGAACAGTGCTAGATCCCTATATTTCCCCCAGGCCTCTTTCCCATCTCTGTCCTCACAGTATGGGGAATTCTGAGAACACACATACTTTGGAACAGTGCTAGATCCCTATATTTCCCCCGGGCCTCTTTCCCATCTCTGTCCTCACAGTATGGGGAATTCTGAGAACACACATACTTTTTGGAACAATAAAAAAACTTTCCTGATAACACTGAGCACTTGATAAGAGAGCCTGTTTCACAAGTCACTGACATGTGGAAAGACTTACTTGGATGGAAGTGTTGAGAAGGCTGGCTTTTCAGGTCGCTTGGGTGGGATGGTTGCCGGCTTGACCAGATTAGATGACTTATTTACAAGAGTGGGTTTCTTGGGAGGTACCAGAGGCGCCGCTGGTTTCGCAGGCTTGAAATCCACCAATGGCTTGAGATCCAGGGATGGCTTATGCTCAAGAGATGGCCTTTCATCTACAGAGATACAACAACATGGATGGCATTTAACGTCGCTCAGAATTCAGAACCCAGTAACAAAGTGAAATGTAAGTTGAAGTTAAATCTGTTTTTATTTTGCCTTTCCTGGATCCCATGATAATGAAATGTTAAAATAAAACCTGTTTTCAGGACATACCTTATTTTAGACCCGGTGATGACATCACTAGGCTTCTGTGCAATGCAAGGGGCCAGCAGGGTGCAGGTAAATAGCTTCCTTAAAACCTCACAGCACCCTGCCTCATCACTCCTCCCAAGAGCCCTGAACCCTGATGCAAAGCCATGGCCTGGCTCTAGGAAGCAGTTGTGCAAATGACAAATGCCTTGATGAATGGAAGTCAGTCAAGAGGAAGTAGTGTTTCCACGCAGGCAGCATTTGCATGCAGACCACCCTAGGGAATGCTCACATGTGATACTGAGCTTCCATGATTGAATGAACTGAAAACCAGTGAATGAAATGGAAAGGCCAGGGACAATTGGGCTGGGAATGAAAAGGCTAGATGTGTGTCCTCCCGCCAGGAAATGAGGCAGGCTCTATTTCACTTGCTGTAGCATCATATACACATAGTGAAGAGCTCACAGCGTGCGGTGAAATCAGAGGACGCCATTTCAGTCCAGGAGGGGAGCAGGTACAACTGTGCGAGACGGAAGGGAAGGCCGGAGGTCAGTTGTAAGAGGCTCACCAAGGGCAGCAACCTTGCAACGTCTGCTCTGGGGCAGGACAACGATAAAATGGCAGACAGGTTTCAGGTTGTGGATGAGCAGAAGAGTACTGAGCGTGAAATAAAGCAGATACAAGTGAAGTTACCTTTCTCTTCTGATTTGGGAGGAGTGAACTTTTTGTCTCCATGTCGAAGTTCAGGCTTTGGCACTAACAGGGAAATAAAAAGCAGTAAAAGTGAGTGTGTGTAATTCATCGCTCCCAAACATTCCCCGAAACCCACTAAAAAGGGACTCAACATTAACTAGTAAGGTGAGAAGGCGATCCACTTGTGCGTCACAGATTCTGAAAATGTATATTACACTTACAGCTGAAGTGTAATATAAATATACACCGCTCAGCCATAACATTATGACCACTGAGAGGTGAAGTGTAATATAAATATACACCGCTCAGCCATAACATTATGACCACTGAGAGGTGAAGTGTAATATAAATATACACCGCTCAGCCATAACATTATGACCACTGAGAGGTGAAGTGTAGAGCTGCAACAGCTAATCAATTGAAATCGACGATTGAAAAAGTTGGCAACGTTTTTGATCGTGGATTCGTCGGCTATCGATTGATTAGCCTGTTTGGGGCTCCACACGCGGCCTGAGTCACACGCTGCTCCCGACGTGCCCACGCCGCCGCATAAGCCACGCCCACCGCACAGGCTGAAGCCGCGCACGCCGCTTGTCTCCTCCTCGCCGTGAGCTCCCTCAGCGGCCGCATAAGCCACGCCCACCGCACGCTGAAGACATGCGTCTGGCCCTCTCCTCCCGGTGAGCTGCCCGACTTGCCGACAACCAACATCGCCGCTGCCCGCCGACAACACCGTCATTCAAAGTAAGTCAAGATCGGCCGGGAGCTTTTTAATGTTTTCTGTTGTGTTTTTTTAAGCGGCACACTGCAGAACATTAGTAGCTATAGAGGAACACCAAATCCCATCCCAGCAAACACCCTGTATCATGTACTATTGCTGGGATTTGTAGTCCTCTGTAGCTGGCGTTATTCTGTATTGCGCTGTATATAATGTACTATTGCTGGGATTTGTTGTTCCTCTATAGCTGGTGGTATTCTGCATTGCGCTGTATAATGTATTATTGCTGGGATTTGTTGTTCCTCTATAACTGGTCAGTGGTAATCTGCATTATCTGCAGTATAATCATTATACAGCGCAATGGAGAATACCACCAGCTATAGAGGACTACAAATCCCAGCAATAATATATTATACAGCGCAATGCAGAATACCACCAGCTATAGAGGAACAACAAATCCCAGCAATAATACATTATATACAGCGCAATACAGAATAACGCCAGCTACAGAGGACTACAAATCCCAGCAATAGTACATTATAGCATAATGTACTATTGCTGCATTCCTCTATAGCTGCTGGTATTCTGCACTGCGCCGCTGTATAATGTACTATATTGCACACCACACTTTTTTTTATTTCCACCGTGCCAAGCTTGCTCCCGTGATGGACTGCAATCTCAATAGAAACTAGTAGTCCATCACTGGAGCCATTTGTTTTATCCGATTAATCGAACTTAATAATCGGCTAACTAATCGATTATGAAAATAATCATTAGCTGCAACCCTACTGAAGTGTAATATAAATATACACCGGTCAGCCATAACGTTATGACCACTGAGAGGTGAAGTGAACAACATGAATTATCTGTTTACAATGGCACCTGGAAGTGGGGGATATATTACAACGACACCTGGAAGTGTGGGGGGATATATTACAGTGGCACCTGAAAGTGGGGGGGATATATTACAATGACACATGAAAATGGGGGGGATATATTACAATGCCACCTGAGGCACCTGGAAGTGGGGGGGGATATGTTACAATGGCACCTGGAAGTGGGGGGATATATTGGGCAGCAAGTTAACATTTTCTCCCTGAAGTTTATGTGTTGGAAGCAGAGAAAAATGGGCAAGTGTGAGGATTTCAGAAACTTGAGAAATTGCTATGGCTAGACGACTGGGTCAGAACAACTCCAAAAATGCAGCTCTTGTGGGATGTTCCCGGTCTGCTGTGATCAGGACCTACCAAAAGTGGTCCAAGGAAGGAAAACTAGTGAACCAGCAACAGGGTCATAAGTGGCCAAGGCTCACTGATGCATGTGGGGAGCGGAGGCTGGCCCGTGGAGTTCAATCCAATAGAAGAGCTACTGTAGCTAAAATTACTGAAAAAGTTAATGCGAGTTCCGATAGAAAGCTGTCTGAGCACACAGAGCATCACAATTTGTTGTGTATGGGGCTGTGTAGTGCTGACCCATGTCCACCACCAAGAGCACCTACAATGGGTATGCGAGCATCAGAACTAGAAGACGGAGCAATGGAAGAAGGTGGCCTGGTCTGATGAACCACATGGATGGCCGGGTGTGTGTATGTTACTTAGCTGGGGAAGAGATGGCATCAGGATGCACTATGGGTAGAAAACAAGCTGGCGAAGGCTTTGGGCAATGTTCTGGTGGGAAACCTCGGGTTCTGTCATTCATGTGAATGTTACTTTGACATGTACAACCCACCTAAACTTTGCCGCTGACCCAGTATACCCCTTCACGGAAACGGTACTTCCTAACAGTGGAGATAATGCTCCCTGCCACACTGCAAAAATGGTTCAAGAATGGTTTGAGGAACACAACTAGTTTGAGGTGATGACTTGGCCTCCAAATTCTTCAAACCTCAATCCAATCGATCATCTGTGGGATGTGCTGGAAAAACAAGTCCGATCCATGGAGGCCGATCACCTCACAACTTACAGGACAGAAAGGATCTGCTGGTGACGGCTTGGTGCCTGATTCAACAGCAAACCTTCAGAGGTCTAGAGGAGTCCATGCCTCGGTGGGTCAGGGAAAGGGGGACCTACTCAACATTAGGCGGGTGGTCATAATGTTATGGCTGATTGGTGTATTATATCATCCCTTGTCCAAATCACAGTTTCAGGTAAATTTTTTGGTTGCATTGCAGCTCAGCAAGAGCCCATACAATGCTTTCTGTTAGAGCAAACTATTCAATGAATTGGGCCCTGAGACGTTAGAATGAAAAAGCATCCAGCAATTGCTACAGTCACATCCAGAGGGGACACCACCCCCCAGGATGTATGTATAGGGCATTTAGGGGCAATATTTTCCTACTAATTCTTAATCGTTAATAAAACACAAACATATGGCAATTTAAAGTCAATGTCCACCACTTCTGAACCACCGGAGTCACAGATACAAATAATTGCCAGGAACTATGCAATCTACCACCCACGAGTCAAAACTGGCCAATAAAAGGGGGCGGTTCAATACAGCTCAAATTGGTAAGGGCGCAGTAAGCGCGAGTCTCACCTACAGTCTGGTTTAGTGAGTTGACACTACTTGTCATAAAACAACAGACGTGTAGCATGTTTGTCTGTGTCTGGATATTGCTGGGAGGAGCGGTTCTCGGTAGGTATGCACTCGTGGCCAGTAGATGACCTGTAAGGCCACTTGGAACTGTAATATATTTATGTATGTTGATGGAAATGCTTTTGAGTTGCATACAGCACTACAAGCAGAGTGCTCAGTCCTGCAGTAGGGAACCCAGTATAAGAAGTGAATACCTACCCGTACTTTTCGGAGGTGGAGGCTTCTTTGGCTTCTGTAATTAAACAAATAAAAACAAAAATCAGTAACAGAGGCAGCGCAGGCAATGAAATGTCACAGTTCTCTATAGCCATTAACATGAACAGTCTGCAGTCTTTGGCAGTGTATCTACATCACTGAACAGGTGACTGGCCATTGACAACCATGATGATTGGTATTGATATAGTGCTGACAATTTACACAGCACATTCACATCAGTCCCCGCCCCCAAGGAACTTACAATCTATGGTCCCTATCATCACACATACAGGGCCGATTTAGAGAGCCAATTCATCTTCCAGCATGTCTTTGGAGTGTGAGGGGAAACCAGAGTACCCGGAGGAAACCCACACAAGCACAGGGAGAACATGCAAACTCCATGCAGAGAGTGCCCTGGCTGGGATTTGAACCCAGGCGCTGCAAGGCAGAAGTGCTCACCACATTTCCACCTTAGTAGTCTCAATTGAGAAATGCCCATTATTATTATTTTTTTAGTATTTCTAACCTTTCTAGATGTTTTGTTGGACAAGAATTATTAATAGGACTCTATGAACCGCTTCCATTGCTTAGAATAAATGTCAACGTGGACATAAGGGACACAGTGAAGAACATTAACATACAATGTACCACCCAAGTAGATGATATCCCAATTTGGCTGCAAATGTGGAAAAACGCATTAAAGAAAAGTTATGGAGAGTCTGAAATACACTCAACCCCATACTCAAGAGTCAGTGTCTAACACTGCAGCTTTCACATCTTGGCTCTACTGATTGAGAGCTGAGCAATCACAAACCACTGATTGCTCAGCTCACGATCATCTCCTTGCAGAGAGCAATGACTGTCAGTCACGGCACCCCACAATGATCCCCCCCTCCCCGCTCTGATCCTCCATCGCTGACTGGAGAGAGAGAGACAGGGGAGAGGGCAGGCACAGCTGGCTATAGAGGCAGCAGGGTGGATACCGACAATATTATTGGGATCTTTCCTGGTGGCAGCGCATCGCTGCGCTGTCAGCATATAGAGGGCAACAGCCTGCTGTATGCCGAGTTTTGGGTCACAGGAGGGCATTAGTAAATCACCAACAGTGGGGGAAGGGCTGTTTATAAAAGGGTGACCCCTCTAAATGAAACTGAAAAGCCCGGTTGAGGAATTAACAAGGCCCACTTACTTCCTTTTCAGAATCAGGGATAATAGCAGCAAAGTTGTCAGGAAAAACCCCTTCTTTACCATTGAGCTCCCCTTTCCACCAACCAGGATCGCCAGTATCCTGCAAACAACAACAAAAATAAGATGCATCTTAAGTTTCCAGAGATAACACACTTTGGTGGGTTTTTTCCCCCCTGTGAAACAACTTACTTTAGTTATTAGGTGGATTGTGTCGCCTTCTTTAAAACTGAGTTCATCCTCATTGAGTGCTCCGTAGGGATACAACGCTCTGCACGTCTCTTTGGCTGTAGAAAAAGCAGAGAATGAACAAACTACTAATCTGAACTGTATGTAAAGTGAAATATTCCTGAAGGTGCCCATACACTGTACAACCATCGCAAGACCTTAGTCTTGCGATGGTTGTAAAGTACTTAAAAAAACGTACGATCTGCCTATCTTGGACAGGCAGATCGTACTTGCGATCATCGCAAGCCCGCCCCCTTGAGGGGCGGGCTTGCAATGACTGCAATGAGGGGCGGGCTTGCGAGGACGGCAAACTTGTCGAACAAGCAGGCCGTTCGGCAGTTGTCGAACAAGCAGGCCACTCACTCGCCGAGAATCGTACGATTCCCGGCGGGTTTTCTAGCCTGCTGGTTCGACGGAAGACGTGCGACCGTAAAGTAGAAACGGTCGCACGCCTTCCATACACTGCACGATTCTCGTACGATCGCGGGATTTCCCGCGATTCTCGTACGAGAATCGTGCAGTGTATGGGCACCTTTAGAACAATTCGGGTTCTAAGTGCAGTACAGAGCGCTGGGGATTCTTCTAGTCCATTCTACTGCAGCTCATATCCCAACCGAAACACATGCACTGGACCCTCAGAATAGAGAATGGTGACTGACGCAGCATGCATGTGCTAAGCTTGGTATAGGGCAGTCATTGTCTATCCCTGGGCCTACTGCATATGTGTCACCTAGAATGTGACCTGCAAGAGGAAATACGCCAGGTCCCCTGCTGCCTTTCTCTCACACACTTTCTTGCCACTGCCCTAATTCTTACACCCCGGCTTTCCATTTACCCACACCACTATAAAACCCATATTCACACAGTGCACACATACCATCTCCTAGGTCTGTGCGACACCACTGGGCGCACCACCTACACTAGTCAAGCTCATCCCTGGCCATATACTGCTCTATACCACATGACACTACAATGATTGCTCTTTGGGCCGAGGCTCCAGTTGAAGGTAGCTTAAAGCGGACCTTTACCCTTACCTTTGATCTGATGACAAACTCACCATTGGAAATGTTTAGTGATGACAATCTACAGACACACACTTCTAGATAATTGCCGGCTTTATATTCTTTGCATTCCTTATTCCTCTTTTCTTCCCCAGTCTTCTGACAGTGGCCATGTTTACTAAGTGCAAATTAATAGATCTCCTTTTACTTCCTGGCATGTGACAAGGACATGTGACCACGCACATCATCTCAGGGGAGGACAATGCCTTTCCCTGAGATCTCGCGAGATTTCCCAGCAATGCTCTGCTGATGTCACCTTCCCAGAATCTAATGCTTGGGCACAGATTACATCACAAATGCCCAAGAGGACCAGGAAGTGAAAAGACAGTAATTGTAAGTAAAAGAAAAATATGTTTGCTTAGCTAATAAATGTGAGATGATTTCATATCGGCATCCAGAGCTGCGTGCTGAGGTGATTTTTTTAGTGTAAGGGATTAAGGGTCCACTTTAACAATTATATAACATTTTGAGTTCTAATTTAGGTTATCTTGATTGAATTAAATCTGGAGTCTCTGTAATATATAGGTATGCACTGTTTTCCATGATTGGTTATTTTGGTGCCTTATCTCAATCTGTTCTCTTTGTACTCCATTTGCTTTTACTTAAAACCAACTAAACCTTGTAAAAGAAAAATCCATCAGATCACTAACATATGTTTGTGTCGGCATCTGAGGTATGGTATGCCATTTATCATCTTTACAGGATACAAAGGACCCCCTGGAAGGAATTTGCTCGCCTGACTTTTTTTCAGGTAGCCTCTAAAGTTATATTTAGGAAAAAATTAAAAAATAGTGAGCAGGGGCAAAATTTACTTTAACCACTTGCTGACCGCGGTGTTTATACCCCGTTACCTGGCCAGGCCATTTTTCAGTATTTAGCGCTGCGGTACTTTGACATTTATTCCGTCATGCAGCGCTGTACTGAAATACATTTTATACCATTTTATGGGACAGATAGAGCTTTCTTTTGGTGGTATTTAATCACCACTGGTGTTTTTTTTTTAACTATATAATGAAAAAAGTACCGTTAATTTGGTAAAAAACCCCGTTCTCCCTACGTTAGGTTATAAAACAATGATTATTACCCATATTTTTGGTAAAATATAAATGACTGGGGAACATCGGGTAAATAGATACCAAACATGTCAAGCTTTAAAATTGAGCGCACCCGCGAAATCGCAAAAGAACTACCATACCCAAAATTGACCATACGACGATTTAAAAGCTTTTACCGCTCATCAGTTCAGTGTTATCAGTGAGTAATGGCCCTAAAATTATTGCTCTCCCTCCGACGTTCACGGCGATATGTAACATGTGCGGCGCAATGTATGTAATAGTCGTTTTTGCACGTAGGCGGACTCTATGCATGTTTGCGTGTGCATGTGGGGGCGGGGGACTTTAATTTCTTATTGCTTTGATATGTGACTAAAATGTTTTACTTTTTTTTGTAACTTTAATTTTTTTTAAACTTTTTTTTCCCCACTTAACTTTATTGCTATCACATAGGGAGCAAACAAGCTCCCTATGTGATAGCCAATTTGCAGTGACAGGTCCTCTTTATGGAGACATCAGGGGTCTTTAAGACCCCTGTCACCTAGAGACCCCCAAAGAAGCTGATGAAGCAGAGACCTGCTTCACCAGCTTCTCTCCGGTTTCTGTAGCGGAGAGTGACACTGAATGTAGGCAGTGATGTAATACACATCACTGCCTGCATTCCAAAGAGGAGATCAAACAAAGCTCGAGTACTGAGCTCCGTTTGATCTCCGGCCGCAGAGCTGCTGTGATGATCCCGGGCTCACACCGGGAGCAGCGGAGCCCGGGATCGCCAGCACCGGAGGGGGCGCACACCCGCACGCAATTACAAGCGATCGGGCATCTCTACAGGCGCCTGAACGCTTGTATGTAAAACAGCCATCGCTGGCTGTTTACATAGAAATCTGATTTCCTGTTCGTGCACGCCGCCTGGCGGCGGGCACGAGCGGTTTGGGATAGGAGGTCTAAAGACGCCCACCCGCCCTCAAGAAGCAGCTGTCTTGACGTTTAATTACAACGGCCGGTCAGCAGGTGGTTAAAATATGAAACCTCAGTTCCTCTAAACACACATATGTCAATGGAAAGACCCCTAGGCCAGAAACGGCCCGCCACAATACTTTACTAGGCCCGCCAGTTCCGAACTGTGTACCAGCAAGCAGGGTTCATTTGATTTATTTTTACTAGCCGGAGCTTGGACGGCAATTCAGCCAGCCGCCCTTCTGAGGATCCGACACTTCCCTCCAAGGACTCCCCACCTCCACGTTTGTCTTCGGGCACAACTCCCTCCCGCCACAGATTTCTCATCGCCAGCACATTCCTCTGTGTCTCTGGTCTCAGCAACTCCTGGTAGGTCTCACTGTGTATGGGAGCACTACAAGTGTCAGCAGTGAGCACTAAGAGTTCATCTTCTGATCCTAATATGATAATAAAATGACTGTCCTGGTGTTCTGTGTGCGAGGGCACTACAGGTGTCAGCAGTCCCTGTCCATTATTTCACAATCCTGGTGTGTGAGGGCACTACAAGTGTCAGCAGTCCCAGTCCATTATGTCACAATCCTGGCGTGTGAGGGCACTACAAGTGTCAGCAGTCCCTGTCATGTGCAAGGAGGAAGCACCCTTGCAGGTTATATCACTGAAGATGAAACTCTTAGTGCAAGCCAATGCTGGGGAGAGCAGTGATCAGAAGAGAGAACTCCTCATCGAGAAAGAATGGTAAGCTAAGGAGAGACGGACCACAAGCTGCTCACAAACTTAAGGAACTGCAATGGACTCCTTCAATGAAATTTGGTGAGGGGCAGACAAATGGTAGAATCCACACCCCAGATGTCAGAAACTGGAGACAGATTGCCAATCTTTGAAATATTAAAACTGTCTCCTATGTAGGGAAAGGATTCTTCCTTTCACAGGGCTGACCCAGGAGTGTGGGGCTCCTAACATAGTGGCCTGCAAGTACACAGAGCCCTGGTGTCTAACCTGCTTTAATTTGAAAGGGGTTGTAATAGCAGTGGTCCCATGTAACATGTCCCCAGCCCCTGACACTCATTTACAGCATGGCTGCAATCTCCACAAGGTTTATGTTTTATTATTTCAGTGGGGCTTCCCCCGCACTGCAAGGGTTAACTGCTCGCTTTGGTCTAGCTTCAAGAAACTCACCTGAACAGTGGAGGTCGCTTGTTCTTACACCGGTCCGTCCAGCCTCTCCCGCTCCGCTGCAGCGGTCTAAGGTTCCATATATGTCGTTCTACAGACCGTGTATAGACATGAGGACTCCGAGCAACGTTCTAATGCTGCAATGTAGGAGGAGACAGGCTGGAGGGAGCTCTGTGATGCCTGGACGGCTCAGATAGGCGAGTATCTTTGAGGGAGAGTAAAACTTTGCTTTTGAACCTCGACAAAAATGAGCACCTAACCCTTGCGGTGCAGGGGGGAGCCCCACTACAAGGGTTAAGTAAAACATTACCTGGAGTTCTTCTTTGACAACTAAATATTACACCCAATATGGAACAGGAAAAGGTTTATAAAAGACGGTGACAACCAAACAACATTCCCCACCTTTTGCTTTGCCGTCAACTTCTGTTTTTGGTAGATCTGAGCTTAGTGTGCGCGTCGCTTTAATTGCTGGTGGTGTAGGTGACGGCTGCAAAACAAATGTAATATTCAGTAGAGTCTGCTCACTAAAACATCACGCATGGAGTCCCTAATCTACTGCAAGTTATATGTTACATTGTTCATTTTTATGACTAAGGCAAGCGAACACTTTATTTTACAACATTGAACACTTTATTGTGAATTGTCTCTGCCCAAAATTTACTTTGAGTATTTCATGAGGTCTCTACAGAGAACAGCAGGACATTTAAGGTGAAATAAGGGTTCATGAGAAATGGAGGCTTTCGCTAGTTGGAGCTTAATTTAATAGTAGGGATTCGCAGATACCAGTATGGGTGCAGATACCCAAAAACAATACCAACTCTTTACATTATTAAATCGAAGCAGCTACCCTAAGGTCCGTGCTTCCCGTGGACCTTGCGCCAGCATTTTTGGGAACCACCTGGCGCCTGTTTATAGCGTCAGCCCGCACATCTACCCCACCTGAGAACTTCGACAGCCCTGTAAATGGGATGCAGCAGATCCTACCCAATATAGAAAATTATAAAAGGGAAAGATACAAGACCGGTCCATATTACAGGAGGGGGCGGAGACTAGACCAGTCGCCCTGCACAAGTAGAGAACAGCAGTGACTGGTCTTCAATATAGGAAACTCCTGAACAGAGGCAGAGTACAGGAGTTGTCGGATTCTACAGAAATACACAAAGCTCACCAAGATTCAAGGAAGAACACTGATGACTCCTGTATGTAGGCAACATATGTTTTGCCTGGATTTCACAGTTAAACTTCAATTTTAAGGGACAAGTAACAATTTCACACTTTGCTAACTGAATCACAAGCTAAAATAAAGAAGTAAAAATAACTCACGGCTTATTGAACTGACTTAAGCACAAAGTCTACAATGGTGCAGGTCTGGCTATGAATGACTAATAGCATCTCTTCATTAAAGATGGTCTGACCACACGCGGCTCTTACCTTCTCTGGCTTCTTGATTTCAGGATCTGCAGGTGGCATCCTCGGTTTCAGCTTCACAGACCCTTCCTTGAAAATATCTCCAAAACCAACTCCCATGACTTTCTTTGGGTGAGCGACGGTGGGTGTGGAAGCTTCTAAGCTATTACCAGGAGATAACGCAGGAGAAGAAGGGGAAGCACCAGCGGGGGCGGCAGGAGGCTCTGTTGTAAAAGAAACAAACTGAGTTTCAGACTTTTGGGAACTAAAAATGTCAGTAAACGCAGGTGTTAAACCTTAAAAACGCATTTAAGTACCCTGACTATTAACAAAAAAGTATTTTATTTTTTATTCTTTCCCTCCCCATCCTTCTTACAGTGGCCATTTTTTTTTTTTTTTTTACTAAGGGCAGAATAATATATCTCCCTACTTCCTGGAACTCTGGCACATGTGACTAGGACATGTGACCATGCACATTTCAGGGGGAGCAAAATACCTTTCCCTGAGATCTCAGATGAGATTTCCCAGCACTGCTCTGCTGATGTAACCTTCCCAGGATGTAACACTTGGGCGCGATTACATCACTAATGCCCAAGAGAACCAGGAAGTGGAAAAACAATCATTGTAAGAAAAAAGCAAAATATGTTTTTTTTTTTCTCAAATAGATATTTATTAAGATTTACAGTACAAATAGTCACAGACATGTTACAATATCAACTGATGCCTGTTGTAACCAGGTCATACATATACAACATACCACATGGTGCATGAAAAGTATCACAGTAGTGGAGGAACACGTCAGTCCTTGGGATGTGGCTATAATGCAGGACCTATCAGCTATAGTGTAGATGCAACCAAACTACCGTCCAAGGCGAACCTTGGAGGGTTCTGCCTGACTGGATTCTCATGTTAGCTTTCAAGGACCTCAGATGGTACAGTGTCGGATGGTTGAAATATGGTTCACCTTTACCTAGTGTAGGAGCAGTCATATAAATCAGGACCCTTGTATGGCAGAGTAGTGATACTAGCAACAATAAAACACACAGCACGTGGGGAGACACAGGAGAACAAATGAAATATAGGGAACACAGGGAAAGAAGAAAAGAGAAGGAGAGGAAGAGGGTTCTGGACCGTATCACTAGGCCGAGGAGGCACGCAATGGTAAGGTTACGACTAGAGCATCACATGTGGCATAGGCGACGGGAGACAGTTGAGTTAAATAATTTATCGATCCACGAAGACCAGATCGTTTCGAATTTGTGCATATTGTTCTCAAGTTGTGCCGTGCGTTTTTCTTGGGCCATGATCCAATGAATATGTGTAATCACATGCAAGATATTAAGAGACTTTGTGAGCCAAATTAGTGCAATCTCTCTCTTAGCAGAAGAGAGGATGTGGAGGGAGAGCCTAAAGGCCTTATTAGGCCCCATTCACACTGAGCGACATGAAAACTGCGCGACATTGAGCGACGTGTCGCGCGACTTTTTCCTATTGGGCTGTATGCAATCAGGAGCAATCTCGCTCAAAATCGCTCGAAAAAAGGGTCATGTAGGAGCGACAAGCTACCAGCGACGAGCTACAAGCGATATTGAGCGATGAGATGTGAACAGCTACATTGAAATGTATTGGTGAAGCTACATAGAGCAATATCGCGCGGAAATACGAGCGATATCGCTGCGATAAATCGCTCAATGTGAACGGGGCCTTAGGGAGATTTTCTGGTTTACAATTGAGTTGGGAGACCACCGAGTCCATGAGGGCGAAAACTTCATCCCAGAAGCCCGAGACTATCGGACATCTCCAACAGGTGTGGGTGAACGTACCTGAATCAGGGCATCCTCGGAAACAGTTAGGTGAGCATTGGGAGTTGTAAGTGGCCACTCTGGCTGGCACTAAGTACCAACGCATGAGGACCTTGTAGTTTATCTCGAACATACTTGCACACCGCGAACTGGATTTGGTGTTCTGCCAAGACTGGTGCCAGGATTCCTCGTCCATGACATCTCCTAGATCAATATTCCATTTTGTCACATAGGATGGGGGAGGGTCGTCCGGAAGAGACAGTAGGGATGTATAAAGAAGGGAGATAAGTCCTGGGTCATGGGGGTTGTCTCGACAGACTTGTTCGAATGGCGAGGGTGTGGTGGCTCTGTCCTGATTGTTGATGTGTTTTGTAATAAAGTGTTTGATTTGGAGGTAGCGAAAGATTTCTTTGTTGGGTAATAAGTAGTGTTCCTGCAAGTACGGGAATTATTTAATTCCGGAGGTGGATTGCAGCTGCCAAAAAGAGTCGAGATTGCGTGAAGACCATTCAATGAAGCTAGAGGGGCTGTGGAGCGCCGGGGGGAAGGAGGGATTACTCAGTATGGACATGAGGGGTTTATGAGAGGATATTAGGCCATATGTCGTTTTCACCGAATCCCAGAGTTTAAGGGAATGGGATGTGATAGGATTAGAGATAATGGGTCGGTGTCTGGGGGGAAGCCAAAGAAGGTTGGCTACTGTCGTTGGACGTGTCAGTGCATCTTCTAGAGCCACCCAAGCCAGGGACTCGTAGTTCACGTGACATTTTAGAGAGTTGGCCTATTTGTGCTGCTTGGTAATATTTGGTTAAATTCGGGACTGCCAGTCCCCCATGGGATTTTGGAAGGTAGAGCGTACAACGGGGAATTCTGGGTCGACGATCTCCCCATATAATGGTGAAAATGCGTGACTGTAGTCTGTGCAGTATAGGGGTTGGGACACACACACCGGTAGGGCTCTAAAGAGGTAGAGGATTTTTGGCAGGAGGGTCATCTTGATGGCCGCAATCCTACCCAACCAGGAAAGGCGGTAGTTTGCCCAGGTTCTTAACATTTGCGATAGTTTAGCCACCATATCTGGGTAATTTGCTTTGTATAATGAGTGGTAGACTGGAGTTAGTTTGATTCCCAGATATGGACGGTGGGAGGGGAAAAATATGTTTTGTTTTTTTATGAATATGCGATAAGAGCCGCGTGCTGAGGTGATTTTTGGTAAAAGGGGCTAAAGGTCCGCTTTAATACTACTCTAACTGTCCATGTGTCTGTCTCATATAACCAACAGGTAGTTGCGGTGTACGGAAAATTAAAGCTGGAAAATCTCGATGTGATATCAAGTTCTTCAGTAGCTGGAAATTAAAATGATTAACCCCAAAGGAAGCACTTTAAAGCCAATTAGCTGAAATTGAAGCAATATTTTCTTAAGTAGGGTACACCCGGTACAAATGTTGGCCGCTTCCTGATGGAACGGCCTGAAATTTGCACAAAGGGTGCTGCTGTCGGCACTCTTCCACCCAGGCATCCCTCGATCAGATGATCAAAGGAGCTGGTTGCAAATTTTATAAACGAATGAAGTGGCAGCCAATCAGTTCTTAGCTCCATTAAGGTATTCCAACAGCGGCCAGCAGCTGCTTCCAGAATACGATACAAACAGCCGGAGATTCATCCATCAACGCTCGGGTGTGTGATGGAGGACTCCTTCTGTCAGGGGGCATGCAGTGTTAGACTGACAGCACTGTGTAATGCAATTGGGGCCTACCTGGCTACCTGAAGCAAATCACGTGTTTTGACGTAACGTACGTAGGGCTGAGCTTCTGATGTCACTGCACTGAGCTTAGCCGGACGAACAGGTTTTTTTTATCGCTTTGCTGCCATTTGCCCTGCTGGTCTGATCCAGCAATACCCAATGCCTGTACTGCTTCCACCATTGTGAGTACACATTTTTTATTTAATAAATTGCATTTTATTGGACGTTACGCACTATGTTCTTGTCCTTTTTCTCTTTCCACCTGGATTCATACTGGTACCTGTGATCTGAGGAGACCTTATCGCCTTTTCTGTGCATGGGCTTCCCTCCCCCTTTAAGAAGGGGAAAAGCGCATTTGACCTAGCTCTGTGGGTCTGCCTCCCCAGGTGAGCACTCACTTGTTGTCATCACTCACTGGGTGGAGGTGAAGGTCTTCCTGCATTGTGTGATCATCCTTACCTGAGAGTTATATGCAGATTGTGCAAAAAAAAACCTCAGATGATTTGCAGCCAATCACCATTGTTTGCTTTTGTTTTTTCCTTGAGACTTTTTATTGTCTATATTACTTTTTTGTCTTTGTGTAGATATTTTCTATGCCTCATTTGTTTGAAGGCTCATATATGTGACTCACTTATATGTTTCAATTTGTTAGATATGTATGATTATTAGCTCGGCATAATATTGTTTTTCACATTTTTTAGATATTTAGTTATATCCCTAGTGCTTGGTAGCTCATATTTCCACATTACACTTACTGGCGCTGATCACCTTTATTGTTATATAAATCCTGAATAATAATAATAATAAATAATAATACCCGTTCCATATTCTTCAAAACTTAGAACACAATAAAACGTTTTAGCTAGAGCTCCACTTTGACACCATTCTGCCTTTTTGCAGAAGTGGGAATGTGCGGCTGGTCTCAATGGAAGGGATTCTTTTCTGAAGGATCTGTATATTTAGTAATAAGTAATTCAGTAGACCAGAACGCCACTGCTCTAAAAAGAACAGAATATTTACAATTAATCAGCGAGACTCCAGATGGCAAGCTCGCACAGTGTGCCCTCCCCAGTTACCTTGGCCTGTAATTACCATTTCACGCTCTGTGTGCTCAGCAGGCCCATTATTTACATATGATCATAAAACACAATGGGCTGGGTATAAGAAAACCTGCACCTTCATTTGTGATACTTCATACATGTCGGTGGCCATGCACTGTCCCTAGCACTATACTCCCTGGGAGCACCGCCATGACATACATAGAGGCCTGGGAATGGGGTAGGAAAGTTAGCCAAGTAGGTGATGGATAGCCAATTAAGACATCTGTCCCTTTACAGCTAAAGTTTAATTGGCGTATATTTTCACATTCATCAACATTGTAATGATATTTTTTAGATAAAACTGCTTCTCATCACATGCTTTTTATTTTATTTTTCTCCAAGACCCATGGATGACATCACTATGCCTCTGCGTAATGCAGGTAGATCATGGCAGGTGAGAGGGGCCGGCAAGGTGCTGTACATAGCTTCCTGAATACAGGAAGCTGTGGTAACACCCAGATGTGATACTGAGTTGCCATGATTGAAAGAACTGAAGTTCAATAAATAAAATGGGTGGGCCAGGGACAGCCAGGGTGGGGAGTTAAGGAATACTGGACAGGGCTAGGTGTAGCCAGGAGCTGATTGACAAGCTACAGACTTGCGAATCAGCAGTGACAAGGCGATAGCTAAGGCCCCTGAAACATCTCCACCCGCTGTAGTGCAAACAGGTGCAGCCTACATGAGAGTGACAACTACGCTCTGAATTCAGGAGCAGTGCCAGGGCCAAGTCACAAGAAGCTGCATTAGATGGATTTCACTTACAGGACCAATAGGCATTTGTGGGACTTTATAGGGGGACAAAGAAAACCCTAAGTGCAGATGTACTTGTAAATGAAAGTGACACTAAACTCCGGCGTTAAATCTTAAAAATACATTCAAGTAACTTAACTATGAACAACAATGTATCTTATTTGTGTATCACTCGGCTGTAGATCCTCCAATCATCTCTGAATTGGTGCTGACACTGTCCTTCCTTATATAGGTAAGGTACTTTTTTTTCTTTAAGGTCTCACTCCTGAGATTAGTGTCATTTTTTTAATGAAAGGTCATAGTTCTATACTTTTAAGTCCAGCATTTCACAATCGTGAAACATCATGTCATATCAGTGACTTGGCAGACGGTAAGACTAAGCGATAAAGAATCATATAAAGTAGCTCCCACACGGAGGTTGTGCCGTGTCCTTTGGCTGGAGCTGACCCAATTGTCCTGCCAGCAATGGCGGATTTTCACATGGTACAGTTCCCAAGGAACAATGGAAAGTTAATGAGTGATCTAAGAATTTATAATAGACTAGATGGTTGTGTGCTCTCCTCTCCGGAGCACTCGCTGGGCAAATATTTGTCCAGGTTACAGAGACTTACAAAACGCATGTAATGACTAAGTATTGTTTATTTCCGCTTCTGCCAGCAGAACGAACCCATTCATCACCAGCCATTCATAGGCTGGAGTAATAAGATATCAGCAAAGGCACTGCCAGAGACCTGTATGGAAGCCAACCCATACACCGCTCCATTTTCTCTTGAAGGAAAACATTTTTCCTCGCCATGCTAAGCTGACCGATGGGTACTGTACTCAGCAGCAACCACAGCTGCCTGAATACAGTGATGCCGCTCAACAGGGACACCATGCGATGCCGCTCAACAGGGACACCATGCGATGCCGCTCAACAGGGACACCATGCGATGCCGCTCAACAGGGACACCATGCAGTGACTGTTGAACCCGGCTCAGTTGATTTTTAAATCGACTTTTGTAAAGCAGGGTGATGCTTGCAGGGTCACCCCTGGCTTGAAGTGTCCACATTTGAGCAGTCTATGGTCCGCCAAGGCAGGCAGAGGTTTAGAACACATGGCCCTTTGGAGGCATTGTGAGTGTCCCTCACAATACACCTATAGATTAACTGCAGATTTTCTATGGTCACATGGAAAAAGTGCAACAGATACCTCCATCTACACTATACTGTGTGGATGGAGGAATCTCCGGCCGGGCCAAGATTCAGTGTCTTGCTTGTCGGCCCCGCTGGTTCTCAAAATACCTGAACAATGCCTACATCCAATCAGATTGGTCACCTCCCGATGCTATGCAGCCACACTCCAGGAGTGGGGGAAAGACGAGATCACCTCACCAGCTTTAGAAATCTCTGGCAGGCAAACGGTTCCTTTCGGCTGTGAATCTGCACATAAGTAAGTCAGCCTTGTGTCTCCCATACCTGTGTCTTCAGAACTCTCCTGGCTCTCTGCGTCGTCTGACAGATCCAGCTCTTTCACAAAGTTTGATGGAAACAGGCCAGATCGGCCACTGTAGGTCCCACTCCACCATCCTTCTTCTACCTTTAAAGCAGAAAAATCCATCAGCAGGCATATAACGAGATGCAACTAACAATTATTTTGATAAATCGATTAGTCGGACGATTAATCGGATTAAAAAAAATAAATGAAATACCATCTTTAATATGAAATAAAGCACACTAATGAAGTGTTACAAAGTTTACTTCAACATCTCTTACATTTACTTCAATCTTTTTGCAATCACACTGTACTCAAAAGCACGTTCTGGTTCAGGCAGGAGGCGCGTTTGGGGTGTTATTGAAATGTATGGCACTCCAACGCAACTCCAGAATTTGTCAGGCTGAAACCCAAGATTACCTTTTCCCCACTTTTTTAGTTTTTTATAATTGGGGGAGGGGCAGCTTTATTTCTTTAACTTTTTTAAAACTATTTTTATTTATTTTACCCTCAATTTCTTTTCCTGCAGCCCCAGTACAGGAAGCAGAGGCAGAGGCTTCCTGTTCATTCATAAATCGAGATAGTAAACAGATACTATTTCTGCAATCATAAAGGACCAGGAAGTGATGTAGAGCACTTCCTGTTTGTAGAGCACTTCCATTGATAATTGGGGACAGAGTATCTGAATACAATGTCCTCAATTACTTACAAACATCCTAGTGATCAGTACTGATCAGTGCAATGTTTAAACATAACAGGGAACAAGCACCAAATATTTCACATATTTGCTGATAGTCTCGCAGCTCTCCTCCCCGCACCCACCTTGGCCCTGTCACTATTCTCTCCTCCCGGCTGAGCACCAGTGAGTGGATCGGCTCTGCGTCCCCTCCGATCCCCTCTGTCTCTACAGGTGGGGAAGAGCAGAGGGGATTGGAGGGGACACAGATGGCTGCATGCAGCGGGCTCACATCGGGAAGGAGAGAACTGCAGAGCCAATGCAGCAGCTGAGAGGTGGAGGTTTGGGGGAGCTCTACTAACCGATGGGCACCGGCTGCAGGAGTCTGTGTCCCCTCTGATCCCTGCCGACACAGGTGGGGGAGAGCAGCATGGATCAGAGGGGACACACAATGCAGCATGATCCCAGCACAGAGGAGAGCTGCAGAGCTGATGCAGCGGCAGGGTGAGGTTTACGGGAGCTCCACTTACGGATTGGCACCGGCTGCAGGGGTCTATGTCACTCAGATTCCTACTGGGAGGAGCGGGGATCGGAGGGGACACAGAGCGGATGAAACACCAGTTCCCAGAGTGGAGAACAGAGGCAGGGGATACACACCAACGGTAATGAGAATCGTTGACAACGATCCCCATTATTGATTATCATTGATTCAATCGATTAGGTGATTAAGCCCTACATAAAATAAAAGCAGTTTTTTCCCTTTTCACTTTACAAATGCAGGACAATATAACAGGTTTACCTTACTGACCTCCTCCACAAGCAGCACATTCTGGTAGGTTAATTGGCTGCTAAGCTTGCCCTACTATGTGTATGTATACATGCGAGGTAGGGACTTTAGACTAGGGGTAGGCAACTTTGGCTCTCCAGGTTTGCTGAAACTACAAATCCCATAAAGGCATTGCAAGCCACAGGCATGACGGAATTTGTAGTTTCAGCACAGCTGGAGAGCCAAGGTTGCCTACCCCTGCTTCAGAGTGTAAGCTCCTTGAGGGCAGGAACTGATGTGAATGAAGTACGTAAAGCGCTGTGTACATTGTCAGCACTCTATATATATATTACTGCATGCCCAGCATTAGTTTATGTGTTTGGTGTGAGCTGCCCAAACGTTTGGCGTGCCTGTACTCCATATGAGTGTCTCCTAGTAATCAGACTCTCCGGCCACAAAGGACAGAATGGAGAACGGTCCTGGAACACGTCTACAACTCACACTGACTGTTGCACAAGAGGTGCACACATGACACAGCCAAAAGTGAGGTCAGCTTATGTTAATGCTGCGAGTCGCAATCACCACGTGTTCCACATTAGAAGAACAGTCCTTTGGCAAGAGTAGAAAAATAAAACATCTGCAGGAAGCTAATGGCTGACACAGATAGCGGCCTGAATGTGGTGGTGAGCCCGCACCTGCACTACCCAATGGCAGCCAGACTGACAGGAAACACAACACTGCAACGTTTCTAACTGCTCCTTCCACTGCAAACTGACAGCAGGAGAGAAACCAGCCAGATTACAGCAAGGATAGAAGATCCAGGTGATCAATGCAAACCTGAATTCTGACTGACAGCACACCTGACTCCGCACAGTCTGATCCACTACAGTAACCAACAACTAGAGTGTATCTAAACCCAGAGACAAACATGGAAATATTGCAGCTCACCAGTCCTTCAATGTGGCGTCTGCATTCACTTTTCAGGTTTTTGTTTCCTTTACTATGACCTGCTGATCCTGCCAGTAACACACTTCCTGTCCTTGGGTAGCAACACTCACTGTACTGTAGATATGGAGGGACAGTTCTCAACCTAGATAAAACAAAATCACCTGCACTCCATAGAGCGTATAGACCTTGATGAAAGGTTGGTGCTTTTTATTCAATCGTCACATGCGTCAAACAGCCGTTTCGGGGCCACGCAGAGTCCCTTCTTCTGCGCGACATAGTGACAACAAGTATGCAACTTCAGCTTAAATAGTGAATCACACAGAATACACCACAGTGACGACCATACTGATGTCAAATCCCGCTAAGGCGATTGAATAAAAAAGTGCTTTACTTCTTGCACATATCGAGTGCTGGTGACTTCTTTTATGGAGTTCTAAACCTAGGACACAAGATGTTTTGGGCCTCAATAACAACCCCCCCCCCCCTAAAAAAAAGCCCCATTCCAGGTAAAATAGTGCCCTCTCCTATCCCACTAACTGCTGCATGTCCTCCAGCCATGCAAACTGTGCTAAGCAACACCCACACGTGATGCTGAGCCTCCATGATTGAGAGAACTGAAATCCAATAAATGAAAGGGACAATGCCAGGAACAGTGAGGCTGGAGAGGAAAGTGCTAGATGATACAGCGGCGGAGTGGTTAGAACTGGGAGGACCTCAATTCAAATCCGGGCCGGGACACTATCTGCATGTTCTCCCTGTGCTTCTGGAAGACATGCTGGAAGGTGTATTGGCCCTTGTATGTATGTATGTATGTATGTATGTATGTATGTATGTATGTATGTATGTATGTGAGACAGTGACTAGGGATCGACCGATACACTTTCAGAGACTATACAGATATTCGGCCATCTTTCAGACTGATAGCTGACATCACGTGCCGATATTCTGTATATTTAAAGTTGTGAAAAATCGAGGTCTGCAGGTCCCAGTATACTTGTGATCCCCAAAGGAAAACTAGTTCCAGCGTGCCTGTGAGGTCACCACGGGACTTCTAGTTCCAGCGTGCCTGTGAGGTCACCACGGGACTTCTAGTTCCAGCGTGCCTGTGAGGTCACCACGGGACTTCTAGTTCCAGCGTGCCTGTGAGGTCACCACGGGACTTCTAGTTCCAGCGTGCCTGTGAGGTCACCACGGGACTTCTTCTACTACCCAACTGCCCGAGGCCTTTGACTGTGCCGAGCAGAGAGGAAATAAACTGTAAGCAACCTAAAAATACTTGCTGAGCCTTAAGGCGTCTCTGTCACAACAAACTGCTAATAGCGCCGAGGTGACAAACCAGATCAGAATATAATCTAGGCTTGCATACAAGTCTGAGCACTTCACAGAACACGAGTGCTCAGTATTA